TTAAATTTTCCGTAGAAGTCAATTCATTCGGATCTATTCTCTTTTCAATTTGGAAGGATTCGGACCCGATCCAGTTAAGCCCGAGTATCTATCCGAGCTGTCTGATCCACTTTCGATGTGGTCGGATCTTCGTGCAAATTTATAATTGGAATATTTGATTTCTTTCCAGATATTTTTTTTTAAACAGAACTTGTCGCTTTGTTCGGGGTCAATACATTTACGGCGTCGCTTAAAGGGAAGGGTAATCTTAGTTCTTCTGATATAGAGACAGCTGTTTTAGTAAACTTTCACCCCACGTTTGGGTTCCGGCATAGGGAGGCCCCTTCCCTTTCGTAGCTTTCCTGATTCTTTATTTTTTTTAAAAATCAATCATCCGAGTAGGAGAAATTTTTCCTATCCGATTGCTTTTGCGTAATAGGCTATAACTTTAAAAAAAAATTGGCTAAAAACTAAAGTGGTTAGTTTGAAGTAAACTTTCAAACTGAAATTCTATATTTTGGCCAATGGCAGCATATGTTTAAATATTTAAAAGATCAACACCTAAATATGACGCTACGCGAAAAAATAATTTTCAGGCCTGGCCCGAAATTTTTTAAAGTATATTATTTAATTTTTATAGCTATTAATTGCTATTTAAAATATTTGGTTTTAAAATATACGGCCCTGGCCCGGGTGAGCCCTTGTATATTTAAAAAAATTAAAATAGGCCCGACCCGTGTACCCGCACCGGACCTGCAGATCTCTGAGCCATACAGATATTTTATCTTCTTCTTTGGGAAAGAAAACCCGATCATTATCTTCCCCATCTATCATTATGATCATACTATTTAATTTCGAAATCGTAATCTAAAACAGTTATTCGAAATCTAAAAAGAAGAGAATTGATACCCTATATAGATAGATAATAAATAATAAGCTTTAACTTTACATTTTTAAAATATTATAACAAAATATTATATATAAAAAGTTGCTTGGATAATCGATATTTAATTTTTTTTTAGTAATTAAAAGTACAATACGTTTGTTTTACCAATATTTAATTCGAATGTCACGTGTTAACACTGTTATAGGAAACAGTGCCCTTGAAACCCTTCTACATATGTTGGAGTACCCCACTTATTTAGCAAATAATCTTCAAAGATGATCGAAAATTTTATGAAGATGTTTTTTCCCCTCAAACTTCTTATTCAAAATAACAAAATTTTAAATAAATTCGAGGCCAAAATATTGGCAAAAATAAAAATCCGACACTGACCGAAAAATTTTATAACAAATCCCTGACTCGGCAGGCCTCCGGCCCGAGCCCAGTTAGAATTTAAAACCCGGCCCGAAATTCGAACTTAACTTCGTGCCGGGTTTCGGGCCCACCTATAGGGCTCCAACACACGGGGTAGCAGGTTATTTATAATAATTAGTAAAATAAATAAATGAATTTATGTACTTTATTATTTTTTTTTTCATCTTTTACCTCGCTTATACGTTTTATTATATAAATATAAATATATGTATATATATATATATATTGAAAATTAATTAGGTGACTGAAAATGTAATACAAGACACCTCTTTTATGTTATTATAATAATAATATGTACTATATATATTACCATTCGCACAATGCTCAATTTAAATTATTTTCTTAACTTTTTTTTTGTCGAGGTGTAATAAGAAAGAGAATATTTAAAAACACGCGCATAAAATATTAGGCGTTATTCATTTGCACACTTTTACATTATATTATAATTATAAAATAAAGAATTTTGGTTTTGCCTTGTTAAAAAAAATAAATTAAATATAAATGAAGTAAAGAAAGTAATTGAATGGAAATGTCGAAAGTTATAAAAAGAAAAAATTGAGTGAGAGGAAAGTGGTGGTGTGATAGAAATGAAAAGAAAATTCATATTAATTTTTTTTATAAAATTAAATTTATTTATTTTTTTTATAAAATTAAATTAATTTATTTTTTTGATTATATATCCTTAAAAAAGAAATCTTTTTTTTAAATATCAGATTCCAAGAGAAGAAATTAAAAAAATAAAAATGAATAACCCATTCCTCCTGGAATTAAAAATTTTTTTTAAAAAATAAAAATCTTCCTCTTATTATCCTTTGATGACTTAGTTAATGAAAAATGGCGTCATTCATATTCATAGGCGACAGTTCTAATTCAATGTACGATGATTTCGAGAGCGATAATTTCATATTTCAAACCTCGGTTTGTAAACAAATTTTTTTTATTATAGCATTTTTATACTTCCTAAAGTATCATGATACTCGTGATGTTTCAAATGATATTTTACATGTAACCTTTTTTTTATTTTTAAAAAAGTTAAAAATTTGAATTATTGAGCATTTTATTTCCTGTATTAAGAGAGATAACTTTCCTATTAGAATATTAGTAGCACCTAGGTGGTGAAGAAATTTATCAGGATTTCTCAAAGGGAAGAAGATAGATATACAATTCCACAATACAACCAACAATTCTATATAGTACGGAAACATGACTGAGCAAGGAATCAGACGTAGAGAATTTTATACGGACGATGGAGAGGAGAATGCTGAGAATGATAGCAGGGGTATCAAAAAATGGGACAAGATGAGAAATACAAATATACTGGTAAGAAGATCACGGTGAATAGACTTTTATGGTATGGACATACGATGAGAAGGCTTTAAAAACTTTATAGGAAACAAGATTAAGAGTTTAGAGTGACAGACAAGTAAACAAAAGATAGGAAAGACCAAAACTCCAATGGACCCACACAGTATAAAGCCGATATCACTATTGTATGTATAATATAAAATGGAAAGAGATATCGAAGGAGCTTACCTAACCCGAAAAGGTGAAAGCTAAACAAAAGAGGGGGAAAAATAGTAGAAGATAACCCACTTTTCGAAATTTTAAATTCTGGGATTCGCATGTTTTTATGATAGAAAGTGGATGAACGCGGGAATCACTTTGATCGAATTATTCGTATACTGAACCCTACGTCGCGAGTCATTCATGTCATGTAAAGGGGGTTTTAGACGTAATAATAATCAATAATTTTCAAATCAATATTAAAAAAAAATACATAATTAAATACAATCCTCATATAATTAAATTAAAAGGTTTTTTTAAAAAAATGAGATAATTTTTTTCATTATCTTTTAGAACCTTTATTATTAACCATAACCCCTCATCTCATAATATCAATTGAGACGAGAGAATTAAAAGATTATGAGGCTTATTTAATTATGCCTTTTTCTAAGTTATTTTTTAATTATTTTTTTTTGTAAAAATATGATATTTATATTTCCAGTTTTTTAAATGTGTTTTTTTTCCGGAATGGGTTATTTGGTAAAATAACAATTTTAAAAAAATTTTCCAAGTTAAACTTAAGGTATTCATTCATTGCTTAAATTTCTATTTGTCTAATTATTATCACACGACCTGTCAGATTTGACGGCTCATTAATAAGAAATGAATAAATTTTATTTAAAACCTATATTTTAATATATCATAACTTTACCCCCCCCCCCTCATATCCCTCAAACTAAAGAATAGGGATTTTTAAAAAAATTTAACTCACCCTCCCAACCCGTTCATAGTTTTTTAACCCACGCCACCCATATAAAATTTAAATAAGTTCATTCTTTCAATCTTTTTAAACATCTAATGGAAAAAAAGGATTTAGTTTCAATGTTACATCCCTAAAAGTTTTATAATTTAGGAAATAGCTAAATTAAGCACATAAAAATATATTGATACTAAAAGCAATGTTAATTCCACTTTCAGAAGAAGCACTGGTTGCTAAATTACCAATATTTTTCTAGCTAATCTTGATATCCTTGGGAAATATTTTTCTTTCCGTTTTCATCAAAGTGGGATATCCGTTTGAAATATATCCTCTACAAAATGATATTTTTCGGTTAAAAATGTTGTTTCGCCTTGCCTTATTTAGAGTCGGCTGAGCCATTTATCTCCATTTACTTGCTATTAGTGGCCAACTTCACTATAAGTGAATCAAGTAGAGGAGAGGAATTTCTATGAGGAAAATATTAATGGGTCAATAATATCTATTTTTTAGAATATTTTAAGCGATCGCGAGCCCCACCTCCCCTTATGGAGTCGGCGCCACTGAAATAAAGTAAAAATGTTTAAAACCTATTATCACTGTCAATTGTTATCGCATTTTCTAACTCCAACCAGTACCTTTTTTATTAGCCTTTTTAGGGCTAAGGGCGTGTTAGTAAGGTTCGGATTATTTCTAAACAGCTGTTTGTTTAGTCATCCATGTAATTTTCTCTAAAAAGTCTAAAAAAAAAGAGAAATAACAAGTAATATTTATTTATATGTACAAATACAAACTTAAAACAAAGAGACAAGGAGGAAGAGTGCATCAAAATTTAATAAAACAGCTGACTCTACTCTTAGATAAGGACGCTATTTTTTTTAAAACACCTCTTCTCTTCGAATCTCCTAAGTACTCTTATTGACGAAATGTGACATGGCGTGTCAGCTCAGCATGGTTTTATTTATACTTAAGCCGATCTTTTTTTTTGCCTAATGTTTTTAATATTAATGTTTTGTTCTTTTATTTTTCCCTTTCAAAAAATTTATAATTTTTATCGATTTTTATGGCTGTTGTAAAAAAAAAATTTTAATATATTTTTTTGTACTATTTTTTTTCCCTGAAAACACCCCCTCCTTCCTCCCTCTGTCTATTTCACGCCTAATTGTTTCGTTTCATGATTCAAAAATAAAATATTCAGATAATAATATTTGTTATATATATATATAATATATATTTTTTTTAACTACTATTTTCTGTTAGAAATCCGATATTTTTTTATTTTTAAAACTTTAAAAAGAAAAAAGAAAAAAATTAGCCAAAGACCTTTTACCCCATAATACATTTATTCCATATTTTGATATAATCTTAAAAAAAAGCAAATTCGCACAAATACATAACTTTCTTCTTTTTCATATTCTTATACGTATGTTATAAAATGTATAGATCGCCTCCAAACGCGAATTATTCTTCAAAACAACACCTAGCCACAACCATCTCCCATCTACCACACAAACGAGCAGCAATCACAATTTAAACGCCTCGTCCCATTACGGTTCCTTAGCTTCTTCGTCCAGTCCCACCAGTCTTTCCACCCATTCCTCATTGACTTCTCAGGATTTGAACATCCAAAATCACGCCAACCATCTCGCCACCGCAAATATCACCGATAATCATTCGGCCAGCCCGTTTCCCAACACCTTTTCTACCACAAAAATGCCGTTGCTAGCTTCGGTCGGGGGCGACAAGGGCTCATCCCCCTACGATTACAGCGACCGCGAAAAACCGTTATCCTCCTATCTCCCTTCCAGCCACCACGGCATGGGCCTGACCAATAAGCCCTCACATCTCGCCAATAAATACTCGGCAAATCTCCAACAACTTGGTAAGGTATCCGGTGGCCTCGAAAACGAGGACGGAAACTATTCTTATAACAATCGGTTTCCAAACGGGGCAATCAACCCAAACCCCTCCAGCTTCGCTACCGAGTTAGCCAACAAAAAACGTACTTTGCTCCAAAACAATAACAACAACAGAGAGGGTACCACATCACCTCCCAATATACTTTCCGCTTCCGTTACCGGTGGTGGCGGCGGCAAGGAGAATTCCGGCCACCTTAATCAAAACGGAATGACGAACGGGAATATAAACAATATTGTTAACGGAAATTTGACCAACGGGTATCACCATAACTCATCGAATACGAATCATGTTCAACCGCCCACGGGGACTGTAGTCGAAAAGTGCATAGGATTCGCCAATTTGCCCAATCAATTCTACCGTAGAGCCGTGAAGAAGGGTTTCGAGTTCACCCTCATGGTCGTAGGTAATTAACAAATATCAGTATTTAATATTAAAATTAGTTTTTACTTATCAAATTAGTAAAAATCAAATTTTTAAGCCCTTTTTTCTCACTCGTTCCCCCCCCCCCTTTTTTTGGGGGGGGGGGTTATAACGTCAGCAGTGATTTACTTTTTATCTGGAGGATAGGATGGGGGGGGGGTGTTAAAAATTTATTTAGACTAAAATTATATTATATATTTTTTTTAAATAAAAATAATATGAAAACCAATAAAATAACATTGATTTGATTCAGCGTCAATTTTCAAGTAAGGAGGTGACTTCATTTTGATAAAATAGGATGTAACTAATAAATATCTTGATTTTTTTACTTTCTTTCCCTTCTTTTCTAAACTCGGATCACAAAGGTTACATTTGTGGATTTTACACATTTTGGTAAATAATGATAATTAAAAATTAAATAATTTAAAACTATTCGTATTTATTAGAAATCGTAAAATAAAATACAAGATACCCTTTATTTTATTTTATGTAATCTATAGATGATACCCAACTCTTACCGTAACATAATATGTAATGTGGCATCATAGGGTCGGAATCTATCAATTTTTAAATCATTTACTGGGATCGATTTTTTATATTTTGAAAAAGTTTGATTTGAACGGAAATGTATTTCAACGATGTTATATATTTAGATTTTACCCAAACTGTGAATTTCAGAACAATTTCGCCATAAACACTTTTGAACTAGTCTTTAATTTATAATCAATTTTTAATGTATATTTTTTTTTTCATATAAAATGAAATATAAACAGAAAGTTATGGCTAAAAATTGCCAAAATTTTATTAGGTGGCGTTGCTCTAATACAACACGCTGCGGGTCAAATTGGATTTTTGTAATATATAATTGCCCTCAACAAATGATCTAAAATTGGGTGAATTTCAGAGTTCATACGGATCAGGCCCCGTTAAATTTTAATTTTGGGCTGGGCTTTGCAGATCTCGAAACATAGATTAAAAATATTATACGAATAGTGTTGTTAAAAAGCCCGATTATATTAAAAAACGGCCATAAAATCTTAATTTGCAAACAAAATATTTTTATATGGATGGGTTTTAATTTTATCGTCAACGTGTTTCATTAAATCATCACAACACTGTATTTGATTTTATTGAATTTAGATGAAAAAATTTATATGAAATATTAATTGTTGATATTTTGAATAAGGTAAAACACATAAAATAATATATAAATCGTCGGTCTATTGTAGTTTACCACTCGACATTTTCAAAATTTTTGAGTTAGAAGTGGATAATAACTTATTTATCCCCAATATATATAAAAATAAAAACTAGAATAAAAAAATATTAATTTTTGCCAAAGTTATAGCTCTGTTAATTTTGCGCTTTAAAAATATTTGATTTTATTTATTGAAACTAAACGACATATAACATGTATCTTTTATTTTGAGTAATTATAAAAATTAATTTCTATATTTAAATAAATTCGGGCCGTGTCGGGTCGGTAAATTTTTTTAAAAAAAATTTCGGGTTCGGGCCGTGCCGGCAGAACTTCTTTTAAAAAAACTGGGTTCGGGCCGGGCCGGCAAAACTTTTTTAAAAGAATTTTGGGCCGGGCCGAGCCGGCAAAACTTTTTTAAAAGAATTTTGGGCCGGGCCGAGCTTGAAAAATTAGGCCCGATGCAGATCACTACTTTCCATATTGAATCGTAAAATATTTTCGTTCCCTATCTGTTCCAAATTATTTTAATGTCAAGGTAATTTTTTTAAAATTATAGTATTATATAGTTTTTACTTGTAATCGTTAAATAAAGTTACATAAATTGAAGTTGAAATTCAATAATCATAATGAAATTTATCACAATTTTTTAATAATTAACTTGTTTATAATTTAAATAAAGATTATATAAAATTAAATTTGATTAAATAATTGTTTTTAAAATTTAACACAATTTTTTAATAATTAACTTGCTCAAAATTTAAATAAAGATTACATAAAATTATATTTGATTAAATAATTGTTTTTAAAATTTATCACAATTTTTTTAATAATATACTTGCTTCTTAATTTAAATAAATTATTAAGCATTACTTGCTCATTAAATATAGAGATAAAAATTGAATTAAGGAATCTTATTATTTTTACTTTACCTAGCCCTTCAACTTCTAGAAGCAAAGCTAGATGATAGAAAAAGGCTAAGGGAATGTGGTGAGGCCTATATATCAATATTAAAGGTGATTTGAAATAAGCAAGGATGGTTCAAAATGATCATTCTAATAATGGTACATTTCAATGTCATAAAAAAAGTTAATGCAGATCGGAGTAAAATTATTCATGAGCCTTTTTGGAGCCTAGCTGATGAAGCTAAAGTATCTTTCTAAATTTATTGTAATGACTCCAGAGAAGGGAAAAAGGTTCTTTAAATTATAAAAACTATAATACTTATATTTTTTTTGAGGTGGAGAATGTTAAAGTTAGAGTTTGCAGACAATTTTTATTTACAAACACTTAATATAAGTAATAAACGAATTAATAATTTTTTAAAAAATTAATACTAAAATAATTAGTAAAAGGTAAAAATGCTATTTCTGATTAAGATAAAGATTTCATCATTTATATAATAATAATAATCTTAAATATTAAATTTATATTTGAGTAACTTTCTTTTTAGATATTTTATTAAAATAAATAGTTCAATTAATAATTATTTAAAAATAAATTTGGAAAGATTGATAATATTCTTAAATTTTATAATAATTTCTTATCATCTATTTGTCTAACAATCATTTATATTTATATTTAATTATAATTTTTTTACCTCAAGGTAGCGCCTTATAGCCTTAACAATAGTAAAAAATATTTTTCGATTTGGTTTTGGCAGGAAAAACAAAGAACCTTTGGGAGTAGTTTGAAATTAATAATTCCGAGATGAGGATAAAATAAAATAGTTTTAATATTTAACAAAATGGTATAAATTAGTGTTGGAAGTCCAGTCCCAACTAAGTAGGAAAAAAAATTTAAAAAAAAAATATAAATACCAAAATTTGTTGTAAAATTCAGGGAGCGTATCGCCCGCTCCCAAATTTAAGTATCGGACAGGCGGTTTACAAAATATTTTGCAAAAAAAACATGGCTGGCGGGGAGTGAATTTGAAATATTTGGCGGAAATTAAAAGGAGAGCCTTATTTATAATATATGCATTAAAAAAAAGAAATTTTATTTTTTTGGTAATATTCCATATTTTTTATAAGTTTAAATAAATATATTTTAAAATAAAATAAATCGTAATAATTTTACACATGTAGGTGGGTGGGCTAAACAATTTTTTTTTAAAAAATAAAGGAGCAGACGATTATTTTGAAATAAAATGATGGGCGGGCGGAGAAATCCAACCATAATAAGACCTCGAGTGTATATGCTAGCGGCAACTTGTATTTCCGGAATTTATTTTTCAACTTAAATCATTTTTTTGAGCACGTTTTTTTTTTAAAAACCTGATTTTACCGGGAACGCATTCCATCCTGCGTAGAATACCTATTCTATGAAATTAGGATAATGTTGTCATGTGAGCTTTTGAAGTTATTATAATTTATATTAGTTTTTCTATAGATTTTTCTTTTAAATTATAAATAGCACAAAAGTTAACTGTAAAATTATCTACAATTCATAAGATAGGTACTCTAAACATGCTGGAATACATTTCCGGTAAGATTAGATTTTTAAAAATCAAAAAATGATTTAAAGTTGAAAAAATAATAAACTATATTTCATCGAGCCGAGTTTTTAAAAAATTTAAATAAAAATTTTTTTTTTTTTGAAAGACTCTATTTTACCGGAAACGTATTCCAACACGTGTTGAGCATCTATCCAGGTGAATTTCTGACAATTACGCCATAAACATTTGTATATATTTTTTAGTGTAGTTTAATTTATATAAAATAAAATTACGAGTGGTTCAAAAGCTTATAAGAAAATTTTTCTAGGAATATTCTGTACATATCGGAATTGTCAAGTCTTTCAAAAATTTTTTTAAAAAACGCCGTTCTATATCAGGTGATGTTCGAACCTTCAAAATTTCATGAACCCTAACCGTACACGTTGATATCGAAACCACAGTTACCAAGTCCGGGTATCTATAATTTGACTGCCAATACTCCAGTATCGGCCGATATCAACCCGTTATCCGGTATCAATCAATACCGACACAATATCTGGTAAACTGATACCAACGCAGTATCCGGTATTAACCGAACCTTTATTATGTTTTAAAACCGTAACCTTTATGGTTGTATTATAACCGACCCTTAATCTCTTAAAAACATATAGTTTAATAAATGATTAGTGCGACGAAATTCATATCATAATAATTGTCTCGACTCAAAAAATTTTCGTTGAAAAAAAAAACAGGGAGAAATGTTGTTTAATTTATAAGAATTTGTGTTTAAATTTGTAAATGTGAATAAACTTAAAAATCTTATTTATCTTAGGCGAATCCGGTCTGGGCAAAAGCACGTTAATAAATTCCCTATTTCTGACCGACATATATTCCGAGGATTTCCCCGGTCCGTCTCACAGGATCAAAAAAACAGTCGAAGTATAAACTTGTATTTAATGTGTTTTTAAAATATATATATTTGGGAGATTTATCCGTTATAGCGGCAGTATTGTGAAAAATCACCCTAAGGCCCATTTTGAGCTGACTCCTGAAAAATGGGGGTAGGCTAAATCAGGTTTTATCTGATTTTTCTAACACGCGCATACCTTATTTCCCATTTATTATTGCCCTAAAGAACCCGCTTCAAGTAAGATATAATTTTTTTCGGTAAAAAAATTACAAATTATGTATAATACAAAAATGTAGATGAAGGACTAAGGGATAATACAGATTGTATTTCCTTCCTTTTACTTTTTTTATAAATTATGATAGCAATTTATAAGATGATTATTCATAAATAAATATCTGTGTCTATGTCAATATTTTAATATGAACTTTTTTACTCAGGGTTTTTAAAACCTTGTTCATTCTTTTAGTTTGATTGATCCAGGGGCGTCACTAGCCTTTACAATCTCGGGGGCTCAAAAAATTATTTTCAAAATTACCTTTTTTAGTGGTATAAAATAATTCAAAATTTTGAGGGGGCTCGAGCCCCTGCGCCCATTAGTGGCACTACTGGATTTAATATATAATATATTTAAAACAGCTATTATTGCATTATAATAAATATTATTATCCTAAAAAAATGTTTTACAAGAAGTTTATAACCCAATTTCTAGTAATCTCATATAAAACTAGGCCACATTTAGTTCTTTGCGTGAAAGTGATTTCTATATTGTTTTTTTAGCGTACTATGTATGTACTGGTTTGGACAAATCTCTAGCATACTATAATATACGACAGTAAAACCTCCGCACCTATATTTTGCCTTAACCTCCCTCCCCCGCCCTTCCTTACTTCAATCCATCTCTGTCCAAAATCCTAATTTCCAAAGACTCGACTTAGTTTAAAATTAAATGTCGTTATAATAAATATGTAACCAAAAAAACAATAAATTCAGGTCGAGACATCTAAACAAGTCCTGGTGGAAAATGGCGTTCAACTTTCCTTAACCATAGTTGACACCCCCGGTTTCGGTGATTCGGTCAACAATTCGGAATGGTTTTTTTTAAAAAAAATAAAGATATTTTAGAATTTGACTTAAGAGGGGGAAGAAAAGAACGAAATTAAATAGAAATGGAAGACAAAACACGTGAGTTTTGATGTTTAGTAAAGAAGGAAGAGAATTAAGCAAACGCGAACCATGTCAATTCCTGTTTATATATGTTAGCGGCAACGTGTTATTTATTCAACTTTAAATCATATTTTGAGCCATTTTTTTTTTAAATTTAAAAATCGAATTTTATCGGAAATGTAGTTCTATCATGTTTGGAATAATCTACCCTTTGAATTTATGATAATTTTATCATGAACTTTATAAATTATAAATGATTCAAAAGTTAATGGTGAAATTATTCTACAATTCATAAGATAGGTAATCTAAACATGCTTGAATACATTTCAGGTAAAATCAGATTTTTTAAATTTAAAAAAACACTCTCAAAAAATGGTTTAAAGTTGATAATACATTGCCGCTAACATGCACAATTTTATTTTTATAAAACTTAATTTCTTTTAGTTGGCAAAAAATTCTTGACCACATAGAATTCAAATACGATGAATATCTAAACAAGGAGAGTAAAATCAACAGGAGGACTTTCGAAGATTCGCGCATTCATTGCTGCCTTTACTTTATAGCTCCATCGGGACATGGGTCATTATATTAATATACTATTATATACTACTAATAAGATGCTTTTTAAGTTACAAATTAGTATCGTTTAAACGGCTCGAGTTGAGATTGATTCTTTAAAAACGGCTAACTCGATATTTTAGCCAGGAAAATATTACGCGAGCTTGAAGATTCTGGTCATCGATGGCAAAGTTTGGACATCTATTAGTGAAATCTAGAGTAGTGTTGTTTAAAAGACCAGATTCGGGTCGATTTTTAAAAAATGGCCCGATTAAGATTATAACCAAAATGATATTGTGTATGCCCCTGGTGATTTTGTTCACAGATGGCAGAAAGGTTTGGGCTTTTACTTGCCAAATCTTGAGCCTTGCACAATATTACTTTGGCTAACTACCCAAATCGGGTTTTTTAACAACACTAATCTCTTGAGGCTTAGGAAATATTTTTTCTGGCTAAAATATTGAATTAGCCGTTTATAAAAATCGGCTCAAATCGAGCCGTTTAACAACATCAGTTACACTTTTAAATAAATTCGACGAGTTTTTTTATGAGATAGGATTGGGATATTGAATAAAAATTGTTTTTTATTGCCTCACAAAAAAAATTCATATTTCTCGAATTATAAAATATTTATTTATTTATTTTTGTTTAAACGTAGATTGAAAGAATTGGACATAAAATTCATGAAAAAGCTCCATGAAAAGGTGAACATATTACCTTTAATAGCGAAGGCAGATACCATGACACCAGACGAAATACATCGATTCAAAAAGAGGGTAACTTATTGGTTTATATTATATTAATGATGATGATATTGTTAAAGGGACTTTTGAAAATTAATTATATTTATTTTCAAAAGTAACTAGTTACATTTTCAAAAATAACCAGTTACAATGCAAGCTACCTAAATAATTTTATAAGATCTATCATTTTTAAATATATATTTATTATTATTATTATACGATATTTACAAATGTTTAATCAAAGGAATTTAAATGAATATACAATTTAATTTTGGGGAAAAAAATTGCACAAAGCCCAATTCGGGTCGATTTTTTAAAAGGCCCTGATTAAGATTCTTAGCCAAAGTAATATATGTATACCTCTCGAGATTTGGCAAATAGAGGTCCAAACCTTTCTCCCATCTATGAGCAAAATCTCTAGGCTTACTTAAAATTATTTTGGCTAAGAATCTTAATCGGGTCGGGGTCTTTTAACAACCTTAGTGTTAAACCCTGTTCTTAAATTATTTTGCCCCAAAAATCCTAACGTTTTAATGTTTTTTATAAAGGAAAAAAGCTTTAATATTAGCGCGTTTATCGCTGTTAATTTTACTTGATAATTTAATCTAATTCGTGTTCCATTCATTTTCAATAAAAAAAATTAGATTTTGAACGAAATTAAACAAAACAACATCAACATTTACGAATTTCCCTCTATGGATGACCCCGAGGAAAACAAAAGGAACAGGGAATTGAAAGTTATAAAATGAAAAAGAAAATGTTTTTTAAAATTATAGCTTAATTTCTGTTAATAGTTCGTAAAAAATGAGTATATAATAATTATATTTATACACTAAAATATTTTAGGACAAGGTACCATTCGCCATAATGGGGAGCAATATGGTATACGATTTGAACAATAGAAAAATCAGGGGCAGAAAATATCCTTGGGGCATTGCTGAAGGTTTAAAAAAAGAATTATCGATTCTTGTTCAAGATTTTCGCCCACTACTTTATATTATTAATAATAATAAGCATAAAATCTCAATAAATTTGGCATCATTGTACAGAAACTTTTTCTTTTAATTAATTTGAATAGCAAGTCATTCCGTAATCTGTGATAATGAATGATATAGAGATGTGAAATTTAGTTATGAAAAACAGTTGATTAAATGTTTTTTGGTATATTGTAATATGTATCTTGAGAATGAATCCTAAATGCCAATTTTAAAGATAGCTTAATGGAATTCATTTTTATTTGAAAGCTTTTAGCCCCTTAATCTCTAAGAATTTTACGAATATTGGGCCCAATATTTTTCCATAGAACAAGCTAGTTTTAAGACAGTTTGCCATCAACATTTTTTGAATAATTTTAATATACACAATATAAATTTCAAAAATTTATATTAGTTGAAAACAACGATCATTGCGATTTTTCCGCTTTGAGGGATATGTTGATTCGTAGGCACATGCAACATATGAAGGATGTTACCGCCAACGTGCTTTACGAAAATTTTAGGTGCTTTAAATTGTCGGGCGGATGTCCAGACGCTATATCTGATATGGATAAGTAATGACTTTATATTTATTTTATAAAATACCAAGATTCGTAAAATTTACAAGGGAAATCAGTTGGAGAAATGAAATCCTAACAAGAGATTAATTTCTGCAAGGAAGTCCCAAGTCTACGGAAATTTGCCTGTTCCCTTAAATATATCTTTAGGCTAATAAATTTCCCCTCCCCCTACACACCCGCTTCACCCCTAAAAAAATTGTACTCAATATATCACTAAGTAAAATTTAATAATTTTTTTAAAATAATGACTAGTTGAAATTTTTTAGAAAGTAAATACAATAATTTAACCTAAAGACCTTTAATATTATGGCAGTAAACCATCAACTATTAGTATCCCCCCCTCTATAGCAAAATTCTGCATACGCCTATGTAGTGTTGTTAAATGACTCGATTTAGAACTGTTTTCCAGTTCGAAATATATTTTTTATTATTCTAGTAGTCCTCTGACGCAACTTCTCGAGGAAAGAAGGGAACAGGAAGCCAACCTCAAGAGGACGGAAAGAGAGATGGAACAGGTGTTCACTGTCAAGGTCAAGGAAAAAGAGACGAAAATTAAGGAATCAGAGGCTGAAGTATATTACACCTAAGTTTTCTTTAAAAAATATACATCATAATCCCTAAAATATCGAATAAAACATTTTTTTATAAATGATTTTGTAAAGTTTGAATATGATATTATTTATTGAGACCTGCAGAATAAGAAGGTCAAGAGATCTGACAGGATTAAAGATCGTTTTTTTTTGAAAGCTGTTCCTGTCCGGTAAGTCTCGGGTTTCGAAAAAATTGATTTTAAGGTCTAGTCCCAGGCTTGTATTTCTAATATTTATTATCCCACAAAAAAAAGTTGGAAAAAAGGTACGAACAAATGAAAAAAAATTTGGAGGAACAGCTGAGAGAATTAGAAGATAGGCGCAGAAATTTTGAAGCCGAAAGACACGCTTGGGAAAATGGCATACCTTCCTACACTCATCAGCAAAACGGTACTTCTCAAGGTTACAACATGAATGGAGGAGATATTAGTAGACCTAACGTAAATGATTATTTTACTCTATGGATATCCTAGGTAAAATTACGATAGCAAGCATCGAGGTGAGAATATTAAGTGTATGGAATTTTTATTTTAGCTTTGCAGTTATTTTGACTGGAATACAGTATATATCATGTGCCCATTAAAGATCTGCCGTTAAGAATTTCACGCAAGTTCCGGCCATCTCGTTATAAATAATTTACCAGGCCTATCCCGTTAAAATTTTAAGGAAAGTCAGCCCTGTTCTTCTCACTGTGCTCTTATATCTATATATTTCTTTCTAAAACAGTTTTATAAATCGATTATATTTGATATCTGTATTTATAATTGGATCGTATAAATTTTATGAAAAATCAGAGATTTACAATGCCTTGTCTAATTTTTTTTATATATATATTCTCCCCCCCCCCCTCCCCCTAGCCCGAAAATTATATATATATGTATGCGAATTTCTCAGCCCGCTATAATTTTTTTAATGTTAAAATTTCATTATCCTTCAAAATAAAGGAAGGCCATGCTTACTTAAACGGTAACAATAATGCACATACCAATTCATCTTCCAACCTTAATATGATGAGCTCCAATAGTACCCTAAATAGTCTGTCTTCCAATAAGAAAAACATTATACAATACTCAGATGCTAACATGAAAGAGTGAGACATTTTATGCAATTTTATATATTTTTTTAAAAAAAATTCAAACAATATTTACAAATTATATATGAAAATTGCAATAAATTATTTAAAAAAATATTAAAATACAATTTATGATGATAATTATGAGAGTTATCCGTATAAGCTTAACGTTTTTATAAACCAAAATTTAATTTCGTTTATTCCCTTTAGGAATGCGGGTAATGTTTTTCAAAATGGTTGAATTTGTAATATATATTTTAAATTTAATATTATTTTAGGGCATACGACGAAAAAGATAAGAAAAAGGAGAAGAAACGATTTTTTTAAATGAGACGATAATATCAATGGCATTAAAAAAAAGCACTATAAGAATTATTTCCGCATATTTTATTTAATTTATAAATTATTCAAATAATCATTTTTATATTCTAAAACTAATTTCGTTTTTTTTTATAAAATATTAATTATCATAATTTTTTATATTATTAATGTTAAGTTCAGTTTATTTCCTTATCAACCATATATTAAAACAATTACTCAAAATTAATTATTTTTTTTGTTGAAAATATTTAATAATAAAAAAAAATACATTTAAATTTAAATAACGCTCGTGATTAAAAAAATTTATATATTTTTTTAAATTTTATGCATAAGAATTTATTACTTTTAATATCAAAAAAAAAATACTTTTAATTATTTTATCTGAACAAATTGATGGCATTTTTATTTATTTATAAATATTTTTTGAATATTAAAAAAAAAATTATTGTAATAATTATATAGCCATTTTTCCCATTTTTTTTTTGATATTTTGGAAAATATCTTTATAAAAATAATATATAATAAATAAATTCCCTAAAAAATAAGAAATATATATTTTTTTGTAAATTTAAGTTTTAAGGTTTGGCAAGGATCAGGTTTGAAGCTGTTTCCTAGTTCGGCTTATTACTTAATAGCCGGCTTTTAAGTATTAGCTAAATAGCCAAAAAAGTAAGAAGAAATTAGGATTTTAAGTATGCCACTCATTTAATTTAATAACGATTGTACCAATCAGTTTAAATTATATTTATAAACATGCAAATATACCGTAGAAGAGTAATAGCCAGTCTTTCTTGATTTATGATTCAATAATATAGAATATAATTAAAGATTGAAATATTCATCCTCATATATTTATAGAATTGTGTCATTTAATAATTCCTTAAATGAATCATAGTGATTCTAAAATATATTTCATTTATTTTGAATCTTTCTTGTGAATCAGTATAGGTTTCTATAGCATAGATTAGTAATAACAATTTCATGAAAATTATTTCCTCTATTTTAAGTTATAAAAAAAAATGCTGTCTCTGAGAAAGAAATTAAGAGTATTCGTTTATTATAAACAAAAATAAAATAAACCAAATAAATTTTTTGGGATATCTCATATAAATATAATGAATGAAATATATTTAATAAGTAATTTGAAAAGTAACTAGTTAAATTTAAAAAAAAATGGCACTCATTATAATGTCTTTGCCCATTTTATCAAAAGTGAGTATAATAGTAATTTTTTACAAAATTATATCTCCAATAAATCTATCTAGTATCAACAACACTAATTAAATTTTTAAAAAAATGATACAGTTCTTTTTAGCATGTATTAAAAAGCATTTAAACCGACCTAGGACACAGCATAATGGATTATTTATTTACATGGTTTAGTAAAATAAATTGGGTAAAGGGGGTAAGGAATTTTTCGAAAGAGAAGGAAGGATTTCCACTCCCCCCCTCTCCATTTGCTACGCTTGTATATATGCTAAGAGATGTGATTTTTCCTTTTAAATGTAAGAACTTTCTGATGATTTTCAAAAAAAATTCCCTTCAAAAATATTATATTTTTTATTTTAATTCATTTTTTATAAAAATGGTAATCTAAAAAAATAATATAAAGCAAGGTAAAAAAAATAAAATAAATATTAGATCTAGCTATAGATAATTAAATTAAAAACTCCATGATTTTTGCCAAGTGAGCGATAATACGAAATCATATAATAAAAATGATTGTTATTTTTGAAGAAAGGAAATATTCCATATACATTTTTATAATTAATTTCTAGATGTCCTCGTCAAGATTTTAAAGTGGCTCATTTTTTAAAAATTTGGATATCATATGTAAAGCTTGACCTGGCCTCCATTGAGGTACCATGTGCCCAGCGCCTTTGACCGTTGCGAATATCAAATTATCATAATAGTCTACAAACCCTGAGATATATTAAACATATTTATTTTTAAAAAAAATCCTAAATTTGTTTAAGGGAATATTTCATTTCAATTTATCAATTTTCTAAAATATAAAAATGTTTTTAGAAGTTTGAAATGTAATGTTAAAACCTGCCACTTGCTTTCCGTAACGCCAATCTATCCTTTTGCCCTCCTGAGTGACATTTAAATTCGAAATAAACCATTGAGCCCCTAAGAAGTTGCACATGAGATCAGTATCGCCGTTATAAACTAACCCCCTTATCTTGTAATCGCGCCTCGAATCAGTCGCCCCAAATCCATTTTCGTAATTTAAAATGTAATCAAATTGGGGATACATGTTCTCGTAGATACTCTTATAGCTGTCGCCTACTTGTTGGCTTTGGGAAGTATAAATTTTTATTAAATTGGATGTAAATATGTATCTCCAAAGATCTCTGTATTAAAATATTTTGACAGATAGTTGTTTTAGAGAGCGATTTTTATTTATCGCGCAATGTACAGTCAGGGTTATCAAAGTGTTTTTTCGTGGCCCGAGCCCTAATTTTATTTTTTTTTGTCTAAACCCGAGTTCGAGCACACATTTTTCGGACCGACCCGTGCCCGATTAAAATATATTTTATAATTAGAGCTTAAATATTATAACATCTTAAAATTAAGAGTATTTTTTCACAAATTGCCATCTTAAATAAAAGTATATTTAAAACCCCCATAATCTAATCAATATTCATATAAATTTCATTCAGAATGAATATAAAAGATAAAGTTATACAATCGAATTAAAAATTATTGTAATTACATGAAAATAATTTGCATGATGTCGAAAAAAAAGATGATATAAATGGGCATATCTTATCAATAGAATCAAATAGTGACAATGATGAGTCAAGTTTGGCAGGCTTCAACCAAGTCCTTTCTTGTTATTAATTATTTATCCAGCCCCGAAATTATATTTAAATGAATAATATCGTAAGAATATTTTATTATAGTTTTCGATATATCTATTTTGAAGAATAAGCCATATAATTTGATGTCATTTATAAGAAAATTATCAGTATAAGCGCGTGTAAATTTGTATAAAAAGTAAGAGTCTAACTTACGCTGAATTTATGTTTTGAACGCTATCGAAATAAAACTGATTCTTCAGAGCGATAATATATAAAATATATCTTCTGCTTTTTAACAAATATTTAATAAAAATAATCTTCTGCTTTTTAAAAAATTATTAATAAAAACCTTTAAAATGTGATTTCTCTATTATTTTTATAATCGCATAGCATACTTTTTATCATCACATCGCAATATATATTTTTTCAAATTTAATCATAGCGTTACGACGAATTTAGAGTATACGCGTTATGCTCAAGCGGTGCGTTATTTACAAAAACAATTCAACAAATAGGCAACAATATATAAATATGGAGCGTTAAGATGATAACGCTATAATAAAATTTGAAAAAGATACATTGCGATGCGATTACAAAAAATAAAGCGAAATTACATAAGTTTTTATTAACAATTTGTTTAAAGCAGCAGAAGATATATTTTATTAAATTATTGCTATGAGGAATCAGCATTGTTTTCGATAGCGTTGTATAAAGCAATGCTTGAACATAACGCGTTTACTATAAATTAAGCGTTATCATCATAACCCTGCTTTTATAGTTAGTATAAATTCGCGGCGAATATATAAAATACGCTGTATTCCTACGTATTTATGTAAATTTCGTCGCGTGCTAACTCTGACTGAGAGTAACGCTCCATATTTATAAATTATACCTATTTATTGGCTTGATTTTGTAAATGACGTTGCATAAAATAACGCGCAGCTTGAACATATTAAGCATTTTCTATAAATTACTAATTCTATGATAGTATATATTATTTTTAAAAAAATTTAGTTTTTTTATGTACTAATACGTACCTACATACATCCCACATTCCTGCCTTATCTGATATATGAAGGGCAGTTCTAACCTCCGGTTTGTTCAACCATCGATGCATAGCCGATGCGTCAATGCAAGGAGGTGTCTCATTGATGATGCTATTGGCCGATAAATCATTTTGATTAAAGCTTTCGCGCCTATTAACTTCATTTGAATAAGGGGGGAATTTGTAATTATAATAATTTCTGTTGGCCGTTTCAACCCAGTTTTCATAGGAGTAAGGGAAAGTTTTATGGAGCGAGTATAAGTATTTGTGGAATATTTCGTTGCTGGGATCATTGTCGCATGGTAAATAGAGGGAATAATCGTTGAGCCCTATATCGAATATCATTCTCCAGGCTTCTGTAAGCTGTGTTCAAGACGTGTAAGATACGAGTATTAGATAAGATTAATCAAAATCCTTTAGATCTAGTCAAAGTTCACTAAATTACAAACGGGAACCCGGACAAAACAAGGGAATTTTTCATCCATTCGAGTTCGTTTTAATTTTCAAAATTTTAAGAAAATCCAGAAAGTTCTGAAATCGTTACCCGTTTTTTTTTAAAATTTGCTATTTTTCGGTTATGAAATGCTCCGGTTGCCGATTGCACACATCATATAACAATAAAAAAATAAAAATATAATATATGCTATAATAGTGTATTACATTAGCTTTGCAGTTAGGGTTGGTATCAATAGAGAAATTGCAAGTGGAAATTACGACATCCTTATAAGACACGGGCCCTTCTTCATCTACCATAATTCATTTTTTTTTTCAAATTTTAATCAAAAACATGTAAAACTAATAACAGGTAGCAAAAAAAATGTCAAAAGATTTACTTTAAAAGATTTTTCCATATAAAAAAAGAGAATTTTCGAGAAAAAAAATCTTTCATTTTTAGAAAATCTGAAGAATTTTTTTTATTTTGAAGAGCATTTCAAAACTCTGGTTGGATGGTATCTAATATTTTGTCAAATAAATATTTCAAAATAAAATGAATGGTATATTATTATTACATAACACATTCGTCTTACAACAATTCGATAATATGTGTCTCCATAGGCGTTCACCGATGATTCCGTGACTATAGGCGAAATACAAAATGGACTGGCTGTTCAAGGTCACAGACAAAAGCCCATTTCCAATGGCGAATCCCTTATTAAATAATTATATTTAGTAGAAAAAAAAATTTACCACCTCAAAATTATTTTTTCAAAAAATATTTTCCCGACCTGATCCGAAAATAAAATAAATTCTATATTCTAGACCCAAACCAGAAAAAAAAACAAAATATATTTTAAAAAATGTTACCCTAAAATTTATATTTATTTAATTTAGTATAATGTTTACAAGAGAATATCTAAAAACGAACAATAATTGAAAAATCAAAATGGTAGACCAAACCCAAGGAGTAGGTTCGTTTTGATAATTTTTCGAGCCCGGCCAAGGAATATTTATAAAAAAATTTCGTTATTTTTAATAAACTCGGCCGGGTTTTTGTAAATTGTTTTACAAAGGGAACATTGAAAAAAAAATATGAGTGGTAAATGAGAATCCACATATGATTTTCCAACCTGAATTAATTCATTGAAATTTAAAATTCATTTTTATTAAAAAAACTTTGGCAATACCACTTTTCGGTCGTCCTGATACGAGGTATATAATTAAAGCAAACATTTAAATAAAAACAATTTCTAACAAATTTATCGTATTTTATTTTCATAATTGATTTTGAGACATGTTGTGAAGAACCTTTCTCGTAAAATAGGTGTTTAAAAAACATATCTTAATAAAAGATACCAGCCGGAACTGAAATACACGTCTTCTAATTCCATGTCATCTCCAGTTTTTAATTTCAAATATGAACGTCGCTCATTCATTTTATAACAATTAGGATGAAAACAGAGGAGAGATATATTTTTTAAGTAAGGATTGCAAAATAAATTGTGATTAGATATTAATAACAAATTAAAAGTATTTAATATATAATTTTTGTTAAAATCATAACAAATAGAAAAATACCTTTTTAGTTTTCAGTATTTAAAATACAAATACTTTCTAAATTTGTCAAATAAACACGAAACGCCAAAAAAATATCTGTGATATTGCGTAACCCTGGTTCTAACCTCATTCTTGTTATAAAAATTAATTATACATGTTAGCGTCAATGTGTTATTTTTAAATCATTTTTTGAGCGAGTTTTTTTAAATTTAAAAATATTTTACTGGAAATGTATTCCATCATGTTTGGAATACATACTCTATGAATTTCAGACAATTTTTCCATGAACTTTTAAACTTAACTTAATTTATATTCGATTTTCCATATATTTTTTTATATAAATTATAAATGGCTCAAAGGTTAACAACAAAATTGTCTATAATTCATAAAATAGGTATTCCAAACATGATAGGATATATTTCCAATATAATCCGATTTTTAAATTTATAAAAACGCGCTCAAAAAATGATTAACTAACACATTGCCGGAAATAACACATTGATAAGAAAATATGGCTATTCGTCCTACCTCGACTAAAGTGAACTAATTTATTTAGTATGTCCAAGCATTTTATTAACGGAATTCACATTAACTCATGAGTTCATTTAAAATATTATACGAATAACATACAAGTTACTAATCTTAGTTATGCAACTTGGACACTTAGGCTTAATAACCTTAATACGAAATTCGTTTACCAAATTTGTAACTAATTTAGTCGATCTAAGACGGGGTATAAGTAAAAACTAAAGGACGGCACGATGATTTCTCTTGTAAAATTGATCAAAAAGTGTGAAGTTTGAGAGGCCATCCTCGCTAGCAGTTTCCCCGCAACTTAAAAAAACTTCTTTAGGTTAAAAGTGTAGGACGACCCTAAGTCGAAAAAGGTATTCCATTATCATTTTTTTATGGATGAAGGTACCTGTCACAAATTTAATATAATTATATATGTCGCGCTTCACAACTAAAAATTATCGATTCGTCGAATCGGCGAAAGTCAACGATAGGGGTTCAGATTCGTCCACGAATAAAAAGAATGTAGTTGGCTAGATTTAAATAAAGTTTAGGGGTCGTGACGTTTTTTTTCTAGGTAAAGTTTCATCGCAAACTAAAAGTCGTTTGATTAAAAATTAACAGCTGTTGCGAATTGCGCAGTTTCGCATTAGGCCTAAAAAGTGCTATATATTAGATTTTCCTGACCTTCAAATTCATCCCGTTTTGAGGCATGTCCCGCAAAATTCTAACTGTTAGAGTCGGGACATATATTCCAGCGTAACTTTCTCCCGTTATGTACAATTCATTTTCGGAAAACTGCGGAAACCTTTGGAAAAAATCTTTCAAGGCTTCATAATTATCCAAGGACACCTTGTTTGAAATTTTTTTAAAAATAATAATATATAATACAATATCATAAAATATCATATGTATCCTACCATTTTTCAATAAAAAGAACCCTCCCTCCCAATATCCGTTCAAAAGCTCTTTTCCGCGAGGTAGTATATTATTTTTTTTTTATAAAAAAACCTTAAATTACTTCGTCATCGTTAAAAGAGTAGTTATTATCTTCCGCGTAAGAAAATCCAACACCTGCCGGAGCTTCCAGGAATATAACATTAGCAACCTACACGTATTATAAAATAATGGAGTCCATATATTTTTTAAAATTTATTTACCTTATTCCAGCTATAAGGATTATTGTATAGGGTATCTCCCTTATCCTTAATGTGAAATGGACCCAATTCACTTAGTAATCCGTCTAAAGAGCTACAACCTGGCCCTCCATTCATCCACAAAAGCAGGGGGTCTTTTTTTGGATTGTTTTGTGACTCGACAAACCTGTTAAATATTAATTTCAAATAAAAAAAAGAAGGCATTATCGTATAAAAATAGGTAGATAATCTTTATGAATCGAATCTAGATTTTCTAGGAGATTAAATTTTTAAAATCAGTATCTGTCCAAGTTGGTTCCTATTTTGCAGGGGAGAAAAGATGGGAGCCAGGAGAGAAGGGTATTAATGTATTCTACCTGTGGTTTGTGGTTAACTAATAGAACGGCACATAAAAATATTGGAAAAGAACAAATGCAATTTTTGGAAGAAAAAATTCTTTATTAAGAAAAAAGCGCGAGTTACCACCCTGTAATACCGTTTATAACAGTTTTCTCCTATTATAACAAAAGGGTTGATACAACTTAAGTCCTTTAAAACATGATACTAAAGACATAACGCTATTAACACACCCATACCCAAGACCCTAAAAAACCAGACGGGTTACCACTAATCCGATAGGAGAGAGGTTTGTGCATCAATGTGTTTGCCAAAAAATTACTTCTCCGCTGAAAACAAAAAAAAAGAACAAATACTCATCTATAACCAACACACACTTTGTCGTTAACCTATACGCTTAACTTTTGCCATGGGGCTCTATATAGGTAAGAAAATTTCTGCCCTCTCCAGTGACCCGATAATGGCGAAAACTTTGGATTAGAGATATATTGGTCAAATTTTTTTTATATCAATTCACCGTTCTATATGATTTTAGAAATTTATCTATTAAAAATTCATTTACACGTTTTTTTAAACCTTATTTTGTGTTATACTTTTTTGAAATATAATTAATTTTTAATATATTAGTTTTTATATACGTTATATTATGCCAAATATAATTTAATACCGCCTTTTATTTATTTAAATTAAAAAAAATATGTTAGAATAATTATAAAATAAATGAATAATCCATTTAAACGTGGAAAAAAATGCAAATAATAAAATAATAGTTCAAAAGCATTATCCAAATTTATTGTATTTCATCATGAAATTAAAGGGGAAGCCATTTTGTTACACAAAAAAAATATATATAAAAATATAATTATTTAAAAACATCATTCCTATAACTCAAAAGCCAAAACATCAAAAAAAAAATTTAATTCAAAAATTTTCAAAACTTTATCAAAAAAAAGCAAAAATAAACCTTTTTTTTATAGAAAAATAAAAATATGGCCAAAACATATTTGTGAAATTTTCAAATCATTATCATTTTGCTTCCTTAAAGCCAACTGAATCAAAGAAGAAAAAAGAAGTATATTAGATGAATTTTTAGAATAATTATTGAAAAGAAAACAAATATTAACAATAGGACTATAAAAGGTCATGGGTTGTTGTACTTTTTAAGTTCCTAGAGAATTTTTCAGAGATTTTGATAATAAATGAAACTTTTAAATTCACAATCAGATGACAGTGTTAACATTGTTTGTTATTTATAATGAGGGAGGAAACAAAATAGATTTGCTGGTATCTAACTAGGTAATCAAGTTCCAAAAATTATTTGATAGTAAATAAAAATATGTTAAACTTTAACAAATTACATAAGATAATCATGATAAAATTAAGATCTTAATAGCCCACAAAGACTTTACAGGTAGGAATGCTTATAAATAGCCACTTTTCTATGACCGGGCCAGGAATATTTAATTAATTTCAAGTTTAGGTGGGTATATCTAGCATACAGAGAGCACTATATCTTTCATATGTAGTAGTCAACATATTTCCAGTAATTAAAATTTTGATAGGTACATTTTTTTAGCAACCTGACACTTTTCAGGATTATATCCACTATAATGAATTATATTCAAGTTTTGGTGATTGTTAATTGTATCACATTATTTATTTATGAAATATTGTTATTTAAGTAATGTGGACCAATATGCAACCATTCATTTTAACCAGTTTGGCCCGCATTATGAATATCTTAATCTTTATATAAATAATATCAAGTAGTACTTAATATTATATCTATGTTTAAATAGATAAAAAGAATACAAATTATAATATGAATAATGCAAATATTTGATTCAATTCATATTTTTGCAGATATAGACAAAAGAGTATTGCCTCCCTTAGCGATAGGCTTAAAAATGAACTCTTTATACACTAATCCAAATTGAAATTCTCATGGTAAATTTCATTTGTAATTCTCATATCTTTCCTATTTTATATATTTTTATTATAGATAAATATAAAGTTTATAGCTTAAAAAAATTTAAATTTTATAAAAAATAATAATGAAAATGTAAATTTAATTTTTAAATTAGAAAATGATATAATTTAATTTTGCAAAGTTCTTAAATATATTTTAAAAAGTAACAAGAAATGTAATGTTACTCAAAAAAAATAATTTTATATCTTATTCATTGCTTTTAAAGATAGTAATAAATTTTTTATTTATTTCCTGTAAAAACAATGTCATTACTTTACATAATATAAATCATTTGCTCATAAATTTGAATTAGTATTGAATAAGTAAATAATAATAAGTCAGATTTAAAAGCCTGGATTCTCTATAATAAACTATGCCTGTTTTTTTTTCAAAATTTTTTTATCCCCTAATCACAAGATATCACATGCTAAGAAGTTTGTTCATATATATATCTGGCAGATAAACGTATTACCAGTATTAAAATATTCTGTCAAGAAAATTAATAGTTAATCTATTCCTATCTTAATAATAAACACCAAAAAAATTGATATGCAGATAATAGATATGTTTAACATTAATTAAATTACCAATAGTGTAATTTCCGAAAGCTTTTACCATTTAGATATCCAGAATATTGATTAAAACTTATATTATTAGAATATCCAGGTAAGTATTCAATTTTATCATAGCTTTGTTGCACTTGCAATATAACCAAGCGAACTATGCAAAAAAATGCAATCAAATTTAAAAACATATGCATGTGAAAAAAAGTGGCATAATAAAGAAGTTGATAAAAGTCCACCCCGGTCCTATAAAAAAAATCATATTAAATAAAAACCTATTTATAAAAATTAGCTTTCTCAATATTTCAGGTTTAATTTTACCAATTAGATTTAGATAATGGTTTAATGTATCTGGAACATCATAGGAATAAGAATTTAAATTCATAATAGCAAATAATTTTGATGTATTATAAAGTTCCTTTTTTTAATTTCAAGATATATTCCTTATATAATCACTGGTAGCATTAGAAAATTTTATTCTATTCTTATCTTTCAAAACTATATTATAATTGTAATATGCCCTTATTCATTTGTGAAAATTTTGAACTGACCTTAAGTCTACGTCCACATTAGATTTTTGTTTCTACTTCTAATACATTAAGCTACAAGTGTCTATAATTGATTAGTGTTTATTTAAAAAAAATATATTTATTATTATCTGAGTAAGCAGTTGAAAACGGCTTAATGAAGCAGCTGACTGATTTTCCCATCCTGTAAAGATGTTCAATCTAATGATTGTAATATCAACTTTGTATATATACATAAGTATACATATAAATTAAACTTTTAGCACAGGACAACACATGTCCTAGTCCAGGAATTAATAGTGTAGTTGAGAATTTAGTTTAATAATAATATCGGATTTATTGATCCCAGTCATCATGCTCGTTTATCTGGAAGGATTTAGTCGCTCGTTTGTATGTATTTTGGATTATTTAATCATATCAATTATGTCATTGAATCAATCATTCATTCATCATAATCATATGGGTTTTTAATATTTGAACAAAATAGGTAGCTTTGGCCAAGGTAATACATCGCGGCGCGGAGAAATGAAAAATATTGTGTTCTTATTATGTGGTTCTTTTAATCCTGTAAATTATATGCACTTGAGAATGTTTGGTATTATAATTTAGTAAAAGATTTATCATTTTATTTTTAGAAATAGCCAAAGATTTCTTTAATATGCATTTAAAAATTGAAGTTAAATGTGGTATAATATCTCCTGTTAACGATAAATATAACAAAAGGGTATTTTATTTTAAATATTTTATACTTTATATATTCATTTTAAAAAAAGGGCTTAGTAAATTCAAACCATCGTTTAAATATGCTTAAATCTGCATTAAAATCTTCCAATTGGGTTAAGTAATATGATATATTTAATAACAAGCTTAAAATATTTATATTATTCAAAGTAATATCTTATCTATTAACACATCTTTTATTTTATAATATAGTAAATTATGCTTAATAAAATAAACTGATATACCAACCAATAATTAAAAATATTTTTTTATTCATAAAATTTATACTTATTATAATATTAGAGCAACAGAAACATTCTCAATGCATTAAATAGAAATAATTGATTTTGGACTTTATATAAAATTTTTATATATTATTAGATTAGACACATGGGAATGTGAACAGAATCAATGGAGTACAACCTTTGATGTTTTACAGCATTTTCAACAAGCATTTAATAAGAATGATAAACAAGGTATTTTAACTAGATCTGTCTCAATATTTGTATTAAAAAAAAATAAAATGCAAGATTCTAAAGTTATATTATTATGTGGTGCCGATTTATTTGAATCTTTCACAGTACCTGGCTTATGGGATCCACAACATGTAACACATTGATATTTTCCAAAAAAATCACCTCATTACAGATAAAAGATATAATTAAAACATTTGGTATAGCAGTGGTGACAAGATATGGAACAAGAATTGAATCTGTATTTCAAAATTTACCATTTCTAAATACTCTCAAGGCAAAATACAATAATATCCATTTTATTTTATATTTATAGGATAAAATATATATCATACATGACCCTATACCAAATGAAATTAGCTCTACTAAAATAAGGTAATTTTAAAACATTCTTTTGAATTATAACAAATTATTACTTCTAAATTTTAATTATTCACATGATATTTTATTAGTACTGATTATTGAATAAGTACTCTATTTGGGGAGATTACAATGTAATACACAAATAATTAACAAAAAGTAGAGCTTGACAGATGATCTTGAATTCCTGTTTTTCCTCTAAAATTTTGTCTAGTATCTTAAAATCTAAAAAAATTTTTAAATTAATTTTAATTTTTTTTTCAATATAAAACAGTCATGAAGAATTTTCCATATTTTTTTTATTTATTCTTTGTCATTAAATTTCCTAATCAGCTGATTTTTTATTAAGATGATACAGGATATAAAGATGAATTAATTTGCCAGTCTAAATTGTGGAATAAGATTTGGTATCTATAAATAATCCTTCCAATAAATGCAATTTGAAGCATTCGTTTCATCTCAATAAGTTAGAGAGTTTTCCCAAAATTTTAAAATTGTATTTTGTACCACACTAATATCCACATGCAGAAATAAGACTTTTACAAAAAATATGTGAGAGCTCTTCATTAATATGGTACTTATTTATATGACTAGTGGCGTTGCTAACCTTTACAATCTCGAGGGGGGGTGGGTCAATTTTTTCCCCAAAATCTAAAAAATATAAATAAATAAATTTCGAAGAAAAAAGTAACATAATTTATTTTTAATGCAAAAATAAAATAGTGTTCTAAATTATTTTTCGTCATTTTACAAAATTTTATTTAAAAATAATAGAAATAATAAAAATTCGTAATTAATTTATTTGGGTAATTTTTATAAACTAGTAAATTATATTAAATTATCTTGTGACATGTTTATTTTTCATATTTTATTATCTTATTTTTTTTGATTAGGTTTATTTTTCGTTTTCTTTATTTTGATTTTTACAAAACTTTAAAAAAATTAATGGAAGATATTGGACATATTTCATAATTTTATTAATTTGCGAATATTTATTAATATTGAGGTTTTTTTCAAAACATTTTGGACACAGCTTTGGGTATAAATTACTACTGGATATGACGGATAAATACCAGAGATTTTTCATTTAAAATATCTATCCTTAATCCGGAAAAGTTTTTTGATGGAATTTTTTACAGTTTAATTTGATAAATTGTTGCATATTTAAGTTAAGTTCTATTACATCTTTTTTAGTTTTATAATACCATAAAGATTTATATTTTGTGTATTCTTTCTTATTATAAGTTTAGAGCCATGCAATCGTGAACTAGATTATGAGTTCCTTATGATGTGAGCTAGGAATTGGATACGACGTTTCTTTAAGGTAATATGAATTGGGGTATGTTTTGATGTTTTTCATAGATTATTATTTGATATCACTTTTGGGTAAAAGATGCCATTTATAGTTCGGAGGCAGTTATCTATAAATGATTGCAGTCTTCTATTCTCTGTTTTTTTTATTTCCCATAAGTCCCCACCAAATAGTAATATAGGAATTAAAGTAGAGTTGATAATTCTGAGTTTAGTGTACACGGAAATCTCTTTGGTTTTCCATATTTACATATATTTATAAAAAGCCCCTCTCGCTTTTTGTATTCTTATTTTCAACTCTTCCTTAAAGCATCCCCTATTGTCAAGCATAACACCTAAATATTTTATTTTGTCTACTATCTTAATCACATTTCCTCCAATTGTAAAATTTAGATTTTGGGCTGCATTTGGGGAAGGAAGAATGAAAGTTTTATTAAAGTTAATTTTTAGACCCAATCTCAGACTTAGGATTTCTAATAAGTATAGCAAATTTTTCGTTTCTTCAACACTTGTTGATACTATGGCGATATCATCGGCACATAAAACTATCCGATTTTCCACATATATCGTAACATTGGAACCCATATCCATTAGATTTACAGCTCCCAGGGCTTCTTTTATGATTTTATAAATTATGATGTTGAACAAGAAAGGTGAGAGTGTTCATCCTTGTTTCACACCCTTTTTTATTCTTAAAGAGGGAGATACCTTTTGTTAATTTTTAAACAAGCGGATAAATTAGTATGGGGATTCTTTAGGATGTAGATAATATTAGGTTCATTTCCACATTCCGGAAGTGTCCTCCACAGGGCGTCATGATTTACGTTATCGAATGCCCTACTGAAATCTACGAAAGCGAAGAGTGGAATTTTATATTTCCAACATTTTTGTATCATTATTTTTAAGGCAAGAATAGGTTCCAGAATATTTTTGTTAAGTCTGTAAACACAAATATATTTTGGGAGTAAGTTTGGTGCAGTTGGAGGTGGTACCAGAGCAAAAGAGCTTATAATCTTTAAAGTCTGCGGTATTATTTCCTGGATACCGACGATGTCTAATTTCATGTATGCAAAATCTCTAAGCAGTACTACTAATTTGTTTTTCATTCCATTTATATTGAGAGACGCTATTAGTAACTTACTATAAACTATGTGCTAGAATAAAAAAAACACGACGAAATAAAATAAATAAGAATTTTAAACCAAAGTTTTGGAGTATAATAATATATAGTGATTGATAAAGAAGCAAAATTAAAGATTAGTAACTCATACGAGAGATAAATAAGCCCACCAAAAAAACGAAATGTTAAAAAAAGATACTACAAAATTCAATTTATGGAAATTATGGAAAGATATACAAAAATTGTTGAGGAGTGATAGATAGTGTTGTTAAAAAGCCGAGTTTTATTGGCTCCGACCTCGAGGTCGTAGCCACGAAGTCGGCTCAAGCTCAAGTTGGCTCAAGCCGTTAGTTCATAGCCGTAGGCTCAAGCCGTTAGTTCAAGCCGTAGGCTCAAGCCGAAATTTATTTATTTGTGATTAGTGTTGTTAAACGGCTGATCCAAACCCGCTTCTTGGCTTACTAGTGTTGTTAAACGGCTGAGCCAAGCCGGCTTCTTGGCTGCCATGCCGGCTTATCCCTAAACTCAGTCAAATTTTGAATCGAAAATTTGACTCAGACTCAAGAGTTGACTCAAGCCTACTTTTAAGCCAATAATTAATTTATTTGTGATTAGTGTTGTTAAACGGTTGACCCAAGCTGGCTTCTTGGCTTATTAGTGTTGTTAAACGGTTTAGCCGTAATTTGAAGCCTTTCATTGATCAGTGATGTAATAATATAACTGTAAGGTATTGAATGTTTTTCCTAGGACCCTTGCAATTTATTTTACTATCTCTAAGCCAATATTATCTTTAGAAATAAATATTATGTAAAAAATAATAGATAATTTAGGAATTGATATAGAAAACTGTTTTAATAAAAAAATTTCTTTTATATATAAAATATCAAACTGAATAAATTTTATTTTGATATTTTAATCTTACATGATTATAAATTGGATATTGCTTTAGACATGTATCATCTAGATAAATATAAAAGTATCATAACAACTCTGGTGTATCAGGATATATAGGTTGTAATTTACTTTATTATTAGCATTAATTTTTTTTAAAGTTATTAAATGAATATTATGAAGATAAAATTGCATGAAGGTTGATTTATATAATGAAATATTATATTTTTAATAGTATCATAATATTTTAATGAAAACCTAATTAATGATTAAACATATATTCAATTAATTCCCATTAATTGGCCCTACTTTGTTTGAGAATGTTGATAAATTCCTCAACATCTATAAAAATTTTTAACAATTGTTTGATTAATAACCTTTCATTTCATTACAATAAAAAATACCCAATTATTCTCTTATATAAGGTAATTATAATATGTAACATTAATACAAATAGTGTATTTTTCCCCTATGTATGCGCAGGCGCACCCTGCCTAAGTAATAATTACACAAATTTATACAAAATAGATTAACATTTTTTATAAAATAATCATTCCTTAAATAAAATTCTTTATAAAAAATTCTCTATAAAATCATTCTCTGTAAAATAAATCTCTATAAACGACGTTCTCTATAATTGTTTTCTCTGTAAAAGTTACTCTATTGTTTTCTCTGTAATTACGCGATACCAAAAATATATTTATTTGTTAAATTTTATATAACAGCATATAAAATTTTCACCAGATTACTGCATTCTCCCCTACCAATTTTTGTTTTTTTTGCAAAGTCTGCGCTGATTCTTTTTATTTAATATAATTTGTTTTTTTATAGCATTTTTATCTTATATTTTCAATTATTATTTTATAAATGAAAAAAATAAATAAAACATACAATTACAAATAAAAATAAATTATTATTATATAAAAAAATAAATTTTATAATGGATTCAACAACAACAAGTTCCTATTTTTTTTTTATCGTTGAATGTAATTTTTTTAAATTATTATTTAATATTATTTATGCTTATGCCAGGCCATAAATAAAAAAGGCAAAGTTACATACATCCTGTTTTTTTAATATTTTTTTTACATCTTTTATTTTTTAGGTATAGAATAGAAATTAAAATATAAATAATTTATTCTTTTTGTAAATATCCTTTATTGACTCAACATTTTATTTCTTTATTTTTTCATAGAATTTGATGTAAATATTTATTAAACATTAAGGTGGTTTTTATTAATATTATTAAGTATTGTTTATAAATTTTTAAATGTGGTTTATTTTAATATTAATTATTATATCCGATAGCTGCAGAGCCATTTGTTGGCCAGTATTTCTTAAAAAATATTTAGATATACATATAGTCCGTGCTTTGTATATTCAGATTTTAGTTTTTTAAATAATATATATTTTAAGAAAATATTAAAAACAAAAAATATTTAAGGTTTTTTTTTCTTTAGTTGCTTCATCTATTTTACTTAAATACTTTTTATGTAATTTATTCAGGTAAAGAATGCATATATTTATATATTATAAATATAATAAGAAAGCAGCAGTTATAAACCTGGCAAGGGCAACCCATACATCATTAGTTTATCTCAAGTTAATAAAAATAGGAGGCTGACATGTTTGATATAAATAATTAATTTTCTCCTTTAAAATCATAAACTAATATAATAAATTATATTTATAG